CCATCACAACTGAGAAGACCATTAACAAGGTTGTATCCGATAGAAGTTCAAGCCAAGAAAATTGAAGAAGATGTTCAGCATATCGAGCAATTACCAGTAAAGTTTGTGGATGAAAGCAAAATTGACATTGTTAACACTTGTTAAAATTCTGAACATTTAAAAACATTGAACGTTTAGTTATTGACTCTCGTCAAGGTGGGGAGTGTGTAAGAAATTGATGATGTAATGCCAATTAGCATATGGTCACGTGTATAGTCACATGAGCAGAGAGCAAAACTCGTGCGTTGTTGAGTAGAGAGAGAGAGAGAGTATTATGTATTTCACTCAGGAAAATTGTTAAAATTTATTCAAATACAAGAAGTTATAACCAAGAAGACTACTGTAAATGTGTAATTGATCATCGCGCTAATCCCTGACATGGCAAATTGATTCACAGAAGTCTTATTTCATTCAAAATTACAACATAGGGATATTTTAATCAGTGAAAAATACACTAACGCAATAAATGCACTAATACACCTCAGAGCACTATCCTGTTCATTTGTTTGTGTCAATATGACCAACAGACCGTCTAGACACAGGCTAGGCGGGTATGGGGAGGAGACGTGTAAAGTAAGAGACTGCCGGCATGAACATCTGAGCGAGTACTCAGTTACCCAGGTGGCTTATGCTAGCTGACTCCTGTTTTCCTTCCCTTCTTCCTCCACCCCCCTTCTCCCCGACCACCACGACCTCCCCCCCCCTTCCCTCTAGAGCCGCTTAATCATACTACGTACAACCGGTGTTCAACAAAAGAACTGTTAAAAAAATATGTTCAAATATTCAAATATACCAAATAAAGGAATATAGACATAAGACAATTAAATAGTTTTTAAAACACGTTGTCACTGCTTCAAATGAAGAACTTTTATTTCTTAAATTTCAGCTGATCAATGAAAATACAACAAACAATGCAATAAAACTTACTGCTAGGTGATTCTAATACGGAGTCAATGCGTTATCCTGAAAGGCAGCCGTGACTTTGATCGAATCACCCAAGACAACCTTGGAGTGAGTAATGACGAAAACCTCTCGCTTTGATGCAAAAGCACGCATACCGTTCAAAATCGCTCAGAGACTACTACTTGGTTCATCAAGCCAGACAACAAATCTCTTACAGTTCGGGGAAACTCACGCACATATGACACTCCTCATAGCTATACTAGTTTTTGACTGAGAGAGGAAAATCAGCGTAGCTGAGAAAAACAAGAAAGGTAGCCAGCCAAAGAATTCAAATCACAAATAGTTCCAGACTGGGAATCAAACCAGGACAAGACCGGTAGTGCTTTACATGGCCCATATAACTGCTCGGTCGTCCGAGCTTGATGATCCACTAAATTAGATCTACTTTAGTATTCGTTTGTTATTGAAAAACCTAACACAATAAGTTGAAATAATGATAGGGATTCCATCTAGCTTAAATCATGACCAACTATTTTGAAAGAAACAACTGCCTATTAGTCTATGTTGCTAACGGCAATCAATCCATTGCCAACAAGTCTAGATATGAATGGGTTGAAGAACGTCAGCTGCAGATAAAATGGCCTGCA